GAGGGGCGCCTCCGGGCTGCCCCCCACTCCTCACAGTTTCCTCCGACAGAGGCTCCTCTGCAGACGCTTCACATGGACGTGTGGGGCCCGGCTCGCGTCCGTGGACAGGGTCACGAGCGCTACTTTCTGCTGGTGGTTGACGACTACTCGCGTTTCACCACAGTCTTCCCCGTTGCGCAGCAAGGGTGATGTCACTGAGGTGTTGATCGACTGGATCCGCGCAGCTCGTCTCCAGCTCAGGAGGAGCTTCGGCTCGGACTTTCCTGTTCTGCGTCTGCACTATGACCGAGGCGGAGAGTTCTCCTCTGGCCTTCTACGAGCCTACTGTCGTGCACAGGGCATCCTCCAGACCTTAACGCTTCCGGACTCTCCACAGAAATATGGGATTGCTGAGCGCCGCATTGGCATGGTCATGGACGTCGCCCGTACGTCCATGATGCATGCGGCTGCCCCCCATTTTCTGTGGCCGTTTGCGGTACGGTACGCGGCGCATCAGATCAACCTTCACCCCGGGGTTTCCCGGCCGGGGAAGGTCAGTACCTCCCCGGCCCTCCTGTGGACTGGGAAGGTCGGCGATGCGTCTGCGTTCCGTGTCTGGGGATCTCGGGCGTTTGTCCGCGACTTGTCTGCGGACAAGCTGTCCCCTCGTGCTGCTCCCTGTGTCTTCCTTGGCTTCCCCCCTGACGCCCCAGGGTGGCAGTTCTACCACCCCTCCTCTCATCGTGTTCTGTCCTCCCAGGACGTCACGTTCCACGAGTCAGTCCCCTTCTACCGCCTCTTCCCCTACCGCACTCCTTCCCTCCCCCCGCCACCGGACTTCCTTGTGCCAGGTCCCCCCCCGGTAGACCCCCTCCCCCCTCAGGTTCCTGCCCCTTCAGGTGTGTCCCAGGTAGACGCAGTCGAGCGGGTGGAGGTTGATGGTGACTCTGGTCCTGCTGCGGGTGCTGAGCCTGGGGGTGCTGACTCAGGGGGTGCTGTGCGCGTGGGTGCTGAGCCTGGGGGTGCCGAGCCTGGGGGTGACGAGCCTGGGGGTGCTGTGCGCGTGGGTGCTGAGCCAGGGGGTGACGAGCCTGAGGTTGCTCAGTCTGGGGGTACTGTCCCAGGTAGACGCCGTCGAGCCGGTCGAGGTTGATGGTGACTCTGGTCCTGCTGCGGGTGCTGAGCCTGGGGGTGCTGACTCTTGGGGTGCTGTGCGTGTGGGTGCTGAGCCTGGGGGTGACGAGCCTGGGGGTGCTGAGCCTGGGGGTGCTGTGCGCGTGGGTGATGAGCCTGGGGGTGCCGAGCCTGAGGTTGCTGAGTCTGGGGGTGCTGCGCCAGAGGGTGTTGCGCCTGGAGGTGCTGCGTCTGGAGCTGCTGAGCCGGGAGGTGCGGAGCCTACGGCCACTGGACCTCCCCTTGTGGCGTCTGGCGGTGCTGGGCCTGGTGGTTCTCCGGGTGCTACGTCTTGGCGGGAGCCCCTCTCTCCACAGGAGCTGCGCGAGTGGTTTGCTCGCCGCTGGAGGCGTACTGCTGGAGCTGGAGCTTCTTCGTCCGCTGAAGGTGCTGGTGCCGCCGGTCCTGGAGCTGCTGGGCCTTCGGGTCCTACTGGAGCTGGAGCTGCTGAGGGTGTTGGTGCTGAGACTGCTGCTGTCTGTCCTGGCGGTGGTCCTGCTGCTGGTGCGGCTGGAGGTCCTGCCGCTGGAGGTGCTGTTGGCGCTAGTGCTGCCGCTGAGGGTTCTGTTTCTGTCCCTGCTGTGCTTGGAGTCCCCGCGCGGCCTCGGCTGTACTTCGTTCCGCTCCTGCAGCAGGTTCTTGGTCTTCCTCCTTTTGTAGAGTGTCCGCCGTCTGTCCAGTCGCCGTCACTGTTAGAGCCGGCCTCCCCACTGCCTGCTCCCTCTCCTTACACTGGTCCTACTGGAGGTCTCGCTGAGCGTCGTGAGCCTGCGTCTCGTCCCTCGTCGCCTGTTCGTGCTACTCGCGCTAGTGGTCGCGGTTCGCGTCAGCGTCCTCCTCCTGTCCCTGGCACGCACCGGATGTCTCTGCGTCCGTCCACTGCTCCTCTGCGTGCCCCTTTGCCTTCTCCTCCTGAGTCCTCTCTTACTGCGCTTTCCGACCCGGAGACGGACTCTCTTCGTGCTGCCAGTCCTACTGTCACGCGTCTTCTTGCTACTGTTGTCACTGACCCCTCTTTTGAGTCCACTGCTGCGTCTGCTCTTGTCGCTGAGCTCGTCGACTTTGCTGCTCGCTGTCGTCTAGACTACGCTGCTAGTCTTGTTGCTGAGTCTACGTCTGTCTGTCCTCCGTCCGTCGGGGGTGAGTGTGCTCTTGGCACGGACGTCCTTGAGGACAGGCAGGAGGAGTTCCAGTGTCTGGCTGCTGCTTCACCTCATCTCGCGTCTGCACTACTTGCCCCTGAGGGAGACCCGGATGAACTAGACATCCCGACTCCGCGTTCTTACGCGGAGGCCGTAGAGGGTCCCTACTCCTCTCAGTGGCAGGCAGCTATGGATGCAGAGATGGCTTCCTGGAAGTCCACAGGCACCTACGTTGACGAGGTTCCCCCTCCTGGGGCGAACATCGTCAGTGGCATGTGGATCTTCAGGGTGAAGCGGCCGCCAGGCTCTCCACCTGTCTTCAAGGCGCAGTACGTCGCTCGTGGCTTCAGTCAGCGGCAGGGAGTTGACTACTTTCAGACCTTCTCTCCCACCCCGAAGATGACTACTGTTCGGGTGCTGCTGCACATAGCCGCTCAGCGCGACTACGAGCTTCACTCTCTTGACTTCAGCACTGCTTTCTTGCAGGGCAGCCTGCACAAGGAGATCTGGCTGTGCCGTCCGCCTGGCTTCACTGGGACTTTCCCTCCTGGCACCCAGTGGAGCCTCCGACGGCCAGTCTACGGTCTCCGCCAGGCACCGCGTGAGTGGCACGACACACTGAGGACTACGCTTGCGGCTCTTGGGTTTGCTCCCTCTACTGCTGACCCATCGTTGTTTCTGTGCACCGACACTTCTCTGCCGCCGTTCTACATCCTCGTGTACGTCGACGACTTGGTCTTTGCCACTGCTGACACTACTGGACTTGCCTACGTGAAGTCCGAGCTGCTGAAGAGACACACGTGCACATACCTGGGTGAACTGCGCAGCTACCTTGGCTTGCAGATCACTCGGGACAGAGCACGTCGCACCATTACATTGACTCAGTCACACATGGTGCAGCAGGTCCTTCAGCACTTCGGCTTCACGTACTCCTCGCCTCAGGCCACTCCTCTGGCTACTCGCCACTCCCTCTCAGCTCTGCCTTCGGATGAGTCCGTAGAGTCGAGTGGCCCGTACCCAGAGCTTGTTGGCTGCCTCATGTACCTGATGACCTGCACACGACCTGACCTTGCATACCCTCTTAGCATTCTTGCACGCTATGTTGCTCCTGGGAGACATAGACCAGAGCACATGGCTGCAGCAAAGAGGGTGTTGCGCTACTTGTGCAGTACGTCGGGCATGGGGCTAGTGCTTGGAGGGCGGAGTCCAGTGGTCCTCACTGGTCACGCGGACGCTTCTTGGGCTGACGACCAGGCTACGCAGCGGTCGTCGCAGGGGTACACCTTCAGTCTTGGTTCTGGCTCTGTTTCTTGGCGGGCTACTCGCTCGTCTTCTGTTCTCGGCTCCAGTTGTGAGGCTGAGATCTACGCCGGGGCCATGGCTGCACAGGAGCTTCGCTGGCTCACCTACCTGCTGACTGACCTTGGAGAGGTGCCTCGTTCTCCTCCAGTGCTGTACGTAGACAACAAGGCCATGCTGGCCTTGTGTCGAGAGCAGCGCCTGGAGCACAGAATGAAGCACATTGCTCTCCCCTAATTTCTTGCTCGTGAGCTGCAGCAGCGTGGTCAGTTGCGACTTGCGTACGTGGCCTCTGAGGCCAACACTGCTGATGTTTTCACCAAGGCACTTCCGCCTTGTGATCATCAGCGCTTCTGCACTCAGCTGGGACTTGTACCTGTCCTACCTCACTTGCTCACCTCTTGACCTTGCTTGCACTGTTGTATATATATATACCTGCTTTTGCTTGTTTAGCCTTATATATATATGTCTCATCTTGCATGTGAACTGGCCTTGTGGCCTTGACCTTGTGCTCGGACTGTGTGGTGACTTTGTGATCCACCCTGAGCTTTGCTTTGCTTTGCTTGACTGGTCTTGTGACCCCTTGTTCTCCCCCACTTTGCCTATGGGGGTGTGTCACAACTTATAGCTTATGCTTTTGTGTAGGCTATAGTGGGGTATCCCATAGGGGGTACAACCCAGTTAGGGTTGGTACTTGTACTCGCACATTTCATAGTTAATTCATTCCTGTTCTTTAGTTTCACACCAGCTACTAGTCTCGTGGTAGTCCCTTCCTCTGTCTGTAGGCCAGAGACAGGTGGTGGGGTAGGAGTAGTACCGGGAGAGCCGTTGGAGGAGCTCTTCTCCTTTCTGGTTGACATGTCTTCTTTGATGTAAGGAGTGTTGAATAATAAGTTTTAACTCTAACTTGCTCTCATACCATGTTGGGCTGAGAAGCCCTAGGATCTTTGTAGAGTTCAAGTCTGACTGGGATTGTAATAGCGGAAGCGTTGAATAAAGGTCTTGAACCACCTTGCGCTAGTATGTGAGGGCAAAGTAATTTGTTTAAAACAGGCAGATACAAAGCTTTATATAAGAGTACAAGGAATACGAATAGATATAATTAACTACCTTGCTGTTGCAATTCGATACAGTGCGACTCGGGCAACTGCTCAATGTCGAGTCAGTTGTGTGTCTTTGCTGTCGCGCTGTATTGGTCAAGTCAAAGGTCGCTGACCTTTGACCTTCGCGTAACCTCCAGGCGGTTACCCTAACCTCCGAGGGTTGACTCGCGATGCTTCGATTTGGACTGCTTCGCTTTTGTGTCCTGAGTTTCGACACGACAGAGGCGCTTAAGACTTATTGAATGTGATCACGAGGTACGTAGGCCCTCGCACTGGAAGCGTAATAGAATCGATGTTCTTTTGTTCAGACGAACGCCTTGAGGGCTTCCATCAAGGTCGACTCGGTCATTACACCCTCGATCGTCTGAACCGCACTCCCACCCTTGTAAATCTTCACAACAGGAACATCTCGAACCCTCTCGATTTCGGCCGTCTGGGGGTTCTGGTGGATGTCCATCTTGAAGATATCAGCACTTCCTGCAAATAAACCCGCGAGCTCGTCAATGGAGGGAGCGATTGCTAGGGAAGGCCCGGACGATGACGCGTAGAAGAAGACGAGGGCAGGAAACGTATCGTCCCAAAAAACAAGTCTCCAGAAAGTGGAATCCGTCACAGTCTCCGCTATTGAAATGAGCTACTAGCGCGTGCTAGGTGTGGTGGGAGACTAAGACTCGGAGTAACCCACTGTGAACGTGACGGAAGTTTGGAGGCTGACGTTTACCAAAGGACTAATTTTATCATTGTGGCGCTTCGCCTATACCTCATTGCAAGTGAGTGCGAGGCCTTGACCGTGCAACCTGACGCAGTGAGGAATAAGGTGAGGGCCGTTTGAGGAGGGAAGGAAGGGAAATTATACGGGCGCTACGGCAGTGGAAGATGGGAAGAAACACGGAAGTAAGGAGGTGAAATGAGAAGTGTCGAGAAAGGATTTTACGGGGGGGAAGTGTTAGGTTGGACCATGGCGTGGTCCACAAGGCACGGTGTTTCGGACTTGGGTGGGCTCGAGAAAGGAAGAATGGTGGAATGGAAAAAATGGTGGAGAATCCAAATCGCTTTGAACCGTTTGATATCGTTTTGCGCCATGGGTCATGAACTATAAACGAACCGTAAACGTACGCAACCAGTCTGCATTCATCCACTTAATTTGAGGATTCGATGACACTGGTCAGTGAGGTGCAAAGGTCTAACTTCAAGAAGTCGCCTCCCGTGGTGGACTCCCTATCGCAAATTCTCACTATCGCACAGGGCGGAGCGAAGGGGTGTCGCGCGTTTGTAGTAAGGGTTTCCAATTTCGCAGTTGAAAACGATCATTCCAATCGACCGCTTAGTGATTTCTTCAAAAATGAAAAAAGATGTCAAGTGTATTGTGATCACATGCCCCAGCGCCCATCCATATTCGGATTGGACATGAATCGTTGACGCACCGCCCCTCGCCCGACGCGCTATGCTCTTCATTCCCTTCGCGTTTAAAAGACGCAACCACCATGACCACTAATACTATCTCGGTCCCGTTCTCCACAGCTCCCTCCTAATCTCCTAATCTCCTCATTCCTCTCCTTCCCTCCTCTCGCACCGCTGAATCGTCACTAGCCGCGCGAGCAGCGCTCGCCGTTAGCCGCGCGAGCAGCGATGGACTATTCGCTGCCCGCCCGCAAGCTGCTCCTCGCTGACGTCAGCGCGTACCGGATTATCCGGCGAGCTAACGGGCAACCGCTGCTGGAGGTGCGGCATGCGGGGCGCGGGGGAAGGATGAGGGCGCGGGGGGGAAGGATGAGGGGCGAGGGGGAAGGAAGAGGGGCGGGGGGGAAGGATGAGGGGCGAGGGGGAAGGATGAGGGACGGGGGGAAAGGATGAGGGGCGGGGGGAAGGATGAGGGCACGGGGGGAAAGGATGAGGGGCGGGGGGGGAAGGATGAGAGGCGGGGGGGAAGGATGAGGGGCGGGGGGAAGGATGAGGGGCGGGGGGGGAAGGATGAGGGGCGGGCGAATGATGAGGGGCGGGGGGGAAGGATGAGGGGCGAGCGGAAGGATGAGGGGCGGGGGGGAAGGATGAGGGACGGGGGGAAGGATGAGGGCGCGGAGGGGAAGGATGAGGGGCGAGGGGGAAGGATGAGGGGCGGGGGGAAGGATGAGGGGCGGGGGAATGATGAGGGGCGGGGGGGAAGGATGAGGGGTGGGGGGAAGGATGAGGAACGGGGGGAGGAAAGATGAGGGGCGGGGGAAGGATGAGGGGCGGGGGAAGGATGAGGGGCGGGGGAAGGATGAGGGGCGGGGGGAAGGATGAGGAGCGGGGGGAAGGATGAGGGGCAGGGGGGAAGGATGAGGGCGCGGGGGGGAAGGATGAGGGGGGAGGGGAAGGATGAGAGGCGGGGGGGAATGATGAGGGGCGGGGGGAAGGATGAGGGGCGGGGGGGAAGGATGAGATGCGTGAGAGAAGGGTGAGGGTTGCAATTGGCAGTGCCACCCACAGCATGTCACCCACCTCATCTCTCCCTCTGTCCTCCTCGCCCTCTGTCCTCCTCGCCCTCTGTCCTCCTCGCCCTCTGTCCTCGCCCTCTGTCCTCCTCTCCCTCTGTCCTCCTCTCCCTCTGTCCTCCTCGCCCTCTGTCCTCCTCTCCCTCTGTCCTCCTCTCCCTCTGTCCTCCTCGCCCTCTGTCCTCCTCGCCCTCTGTCCTCCCCGCCCTCTGTCCTCCTCGCCCTCTGTCCTCCTCGCCCTCTGTCCTCCTCGCCCTCTGTCCTCCTCGCCCTCTGTCCTCGCCCTCTGTCCTCCTCTCCCTCTGTCCTCCTCTCCCTCTGTCCTCCTCGCCCTCTGTCCTCCTCTCCCTCTGTCCTCCTCTCCCTCTGTCCTCCTCGCCCTCTGTCCTCCTCGCCCTCTGTCCTCGCCCTCTGTCCTCCTCGCCCTCTGTCCTCCCCGCCCTCTGTCCTCCTCTCCCTCTGTCCTCCTCTCCCTCTGTCCTCCTCGCCCTCTGTCCTCCTCGCCCTCTGTCCTCGCCCTCTGTCCTCCTCGCCCTCTGTCCTCCCCGCCCTCTGTCCTCCTCTCCCTCTGCCCTCCTCTGCCTCTGTCCTCCTCGCCCTCTGCCTATCCACAACACCATGTCCGCATATTCATTGCCACGTCTGGCGACTGGAACGATCACCACAGGTTCAATTTTTAAGGTTTCAAAAAGGTTGTAACCTAGGAGCTATTGGTTGAGGGGGTGTGAGTTCACTTCCTTGGTCTCTCCACCTCTGCCTGCTGCTCAGCAGCTGTCCGCTCCTTGTCTCCTCCCCATCACTGCCCCCGTCTCTGCCTCGTGCGTGGCCTGGCATGGCATGGCATGGCATGGCGTGGCATGGCGTGGCATGGCATGGCATGGCATGGCATGGTATGGCATGGCATGGCGTGGCATGGCATGGCGTGGCATGGCGTGGCACGGCACCACAGGTGAACGGCATGGCGTTGCAGCGAGTGTGGGTGCAGGGCGTTCTCAGAAGCCCAGATGCTGCCTCCTCTGCTGCTGCCCCGGGTGGGGAGGTGCCTACTGGCGCAGGCAGTTCTGCTGCTGCGGAGGGGAGGTTGTATCTGGACGACGGCAGTGCAGCGGTTGAGATCGTTCCTGCTAAAGGGGGGTCTCCTCCGCTTGTCGGTGCGTGATGTGATTCTAACGGGCGGGACTTTAGGGTACAAGGGGTGACTGGTGCATGCATGTTGGGAAAGGGATGGTGTGATGGGCGAGTTTCATGCAAGTGTGATTGGTTAGGGTTGCAGTTTTGGGGTTGTGTCTTTGGTCCCCCATTCTCTAGCTTGCAGAGTGTGCGCTGCAGTTGGGGAGGCTTGAGTTTACGAGGCAGCATGCATGTGAGTAGCTGGTGTGTGTGCTGTCGAGTTGACAGGTTAGCTGTGTTCCTGGGTGATGTTGGGGGGGCGACTGTGTTGCGTGGATGGTAGGTTGTAGCGTTGAGGTGATGGCTGCTTCAAGGGTTCATGAGGGAGTGAGCTGGACTTTTTGCATTGCTGATTGTTCCCCCTCTTCAGGGCTCTGAACCACTTAGTGGATCCGTGCCTGTTCGTCCTTTGTGGCCTTGTCTGTTTGTGCGCTCATGTTCCTTCATTGTCCACGTGCACATGTCTCTCTCCATGTGTCTGTCTCTATGCGTATCTTCGCGTGCACACACATGTGCAGGGTCGTATGTTCAAGTCATAGGTGCTCTCTGCACCCGCCCTGCCAGCCCACCGTTCATCAAGGTGACCCTATTGCATGCCCTTTCACTGCGCGCCATCAATCCAGTGACCCCACTCCCTATTTGTAGCCTGCCTGCCGTTAAGTGCGGACCATGCCACTCGCAGCACGTCTGCAATCCCCATCTGCCACAACATGCCTTCCTCATCTCCCCACCCCTTCCCCCCCCCCCCCCCGTCCTCTCTCTTTCCACCTCCCCTCTCTTCCCCTCTCCTCCGCGTGCAGGTGCACAAGCTGGTGGATCTGTCTGCAGACCCCAACAGAGAGTCGCTGTGGCACTTGGAGGTGATAGAAGCGCACGTCAGGTCGAGACCCAAGCCACACACGTGACCCAAAGCCCCCAACAGAGATTACCGGTGGTGGTTAGAGCTGCTTAAAGCACTGTGGCTCGTGCTGAAAAGGCTACCGGCTGACTGACGCAGTGCAGTGTATAATCGTCTACGGTATCTCATGCCAGTCAGTGTGCTGCCAACTGTGCCAGGCTCAACATATGGTACCGCGGTGGCAGTTCTTGTACATATCGCGCTCGTCTTGACTCAGCAGCTTCAGTCACATAAAAAAAGGGAGGAATTTGTTTTTTCTTAAGGCGTGTTTCTACTCCAGGGTAATTTGTAATGCTGTATGTCGAGGGGCTATTCCCCAGAACAGAAAACTAAATCTGTCACAACGGTGCACACTACTATCTGCTGCAAGCATGCAACCACTAGGAGCACAGAGCGTTCAGCAGCTCACGTCGAGACTGTAACGCACCGCACATGTTACACTCCATGTCATCCGCCACCTCATACTGCCCTGCACCCTCACCACCCCCTCCCCCTCCTCCCCCTCCTCCCATCCACCGCCCTGGCTTGGCAGCCATGGTGCCGCCACACCCCTCCACGGCACACAGATGCTTCATGAAGAACAGCGCATGTGCCAGCTCAGCATCTGACACGTCAGCAGCCTGCCCATCCCCGTCCTCGTCACTGTCATCCTTGTCAGCATCACCGTCCGCCTCGTCAGCATGCTCCTCCTCTGCTGCTTTCCCTTTGCCTTTCCTGTCCGCTACTCCCTTCCCTGCCACACTCCCAGCTATTTCCTTGCCCTTGCTTCTCTCCCCTCCCCCACCTTCCTCTTCTCCCCCATCTGCCTCATCTGATTCCTCTTCCTCTTCCTCTCCATCGCTCCCTGCGACATCCTCCTCCCCTTCATCACACCCCTCCTGCCCCTCCTCCCCCCCCTCCTCCCCTTCCTCCTCCTCACTCTCATCACCACCCATCCGTCTCTCCAGCTCGCACCGTTCACAACCACAATCAAACCCGTACTCTTCTGTCACCCGCGCACTGCGCTCCCCCAGGCGCCAGCCGAGGGGGAAGTACGACACCACCACCTCCTCGCCGCACTCAAGGTCCCGCATCGCCCGCACCTGCATGTGCGTGTTGCCGCTGAACCCCCCGCTGGCACTGGCGGCACTGCTGGTGCTGCTGCTGGTGCTGCCAGCAGTGGTGGTGGTGGGTGCAGTGGCCGGCGGCAAGTCAAAGTAGTCAAACCTGCGGAACGAAGTCGGCAGAGAACAAGCATGGATACTGGGAGGTTAATTGGGGGATGCAAGAGGGAGAGGGAGCGAAAGAGGGAGGGGAGGGGAAAGAGGGAGAAGGGATGGAAGAGGGAGAAGGGGCAAAAGAGGGAGAGTGGGTGAAAGAGGGAGAGGGGGCGAAAGAGGGCGAGGGGGGAAAAGGGAGAGAGGGGAAAGAGGGAGAGGGGGTGAAAGAGGGAGTGGGGGCTAAAGAGGGAGAGGGGGCGAAAGAGGGAGAGGGGGCTAAAGAGGGAGAGGGGGCGAAAGAGGGAGAGGGGGCTAAAGAGGGAGAGGGGGCTAAAGAGGGAGAGGGGGCTAAAGAGGGAGAGGGGGCGAAAGAGGGAGAGGGGGCGAAAGAGGGAGAGGGGGCTAAAGAGGGAGAGGGGGCTAAAGAGGGAGAGGGGGCTAAAGAGGGAGAGGGGGCTAAAGAGGGAGAGGGGGGTCAAGGTAGTCAGTCAGAGGAACTTTCATGCATGAAAGCAACGGTGGCGCATGGAAAGAGCATACCCATGTGAGACCACATGTGAGACCACATGTGAGACCACATGTGAGACCACATGTGAGACCACAGGTGGGAGTCGCACCTGCAGGCATTGGGATAGCACGAGTGGTTGGCCAGCGAAGCAGCGCCGTACATGGCATACCCCCGCACAGCCCTCTCACCCCGCGGGCTGAACGGCGCCATCACTCCAAAGCTGTTGCGTGTGTCTCGAGCCAGCAGCGCACGCGTCACCTCCCATGAAGGAGCGCTTGTGCTGAACCCCGCATGCGCACCCTCGCTTGTGCCATCCCGGGTGGCGGTTTCACTAGAGCCTGCAGCGGCAAGCACTGTGGGCCCAGCAGGCCAGGTCCAGTCGTGTGTCACTCGCAGCACTGCTTCGTGCACCCGCCTTGCCCGCGCCCTCTCCTCCTCCTTGCTCGCGTCCCCTGCCGCCCCAACCGCTTCTGCACTGCTGCTGCCGGCACTAGCGCCATCAGCCCCAGCAGCAGGAGCTGCATTGGTTGCATCCTTGCATCTCTCTCCATCCCCATCCCCGCCTCTCCCGCCCTCCCCCTCGTCCCCGCCATCCAGCGCCATCAGCAGCGCAAAGCAATCGTTCCACGTCCTCCTCCCGCTGGCTCCCCCTGTCCCTCCCTCAGCCCCCTCCCCTCCCCTCCCAACCTCCCCCTTAATGCCCCTTCCGCCTGCTCTCTGCGCCAATTCCTCCCCCCATACTGCCTCCGCCAAAGGGGGAAGCACGCAGGGATGCACCAGCAGGTCGTACGCAGCCAATAGAAAACGGACAGCTGTCCTGTCCTCGCTGTTCAGCAGGGCTGATTCACTGTCCGCGTCGCCCCCAGCTGACGTGTCATCTGGCCTCTCTTCGTTGATTGGCGGTGGCACGGATGCCCCACCATCGGCGGAAGCTGAAGTGGCGGAGCGAGGGGGGAGGCGGGAGAGCGCGCGGCAGAGGAAGGGGGTGTGCGTGGCCGCTTGTGATTGGTCGAGGCAAGCGGGGGAGCAGAAGGAACAGATGCGGCAGTGGGGGCAGCGAAGGGGGGTGGCGGAGGCGAGGGGGGAGGGCGGGGCGGCGGCATCCGCGGGGCTGGTAGCGGAGGGGAGGCACCTGCGGAAAGTCAAGTGGGGGGGAGAGAAGAAGGGGAGTGTGGAGTAAGCGGTGAACGCAAGCGATAGCGGAGTGGACATCCACTGGGCACCGGATTTTGACGTCAAGACTGCGACAACCGTTGATCATTCGCAAACGCTTCTGATAAGCTGCCGCGCTTCTGTGAGCTAGGGGCTTGGATGCTGCATGTCAATCGCGCGCTGAAGAATGCCAATGCGCGACGAGGGGCGAGGCGCAGTAAGGGTCTGGACCGGGGTCACTCACGACAAGACCCTACACTACAGGGTTGCTCACGAAACAAGCCACCACAGGTCGCATTGCTCACTACTGGTCACCGCAGGCAGTGCTCACCGCAGGCAGGGCTCACCGCAGGCAGTGCGAGCAGTAGTCGTCGCACACATCGTCGTCGACGTATAGCAGCAGAGGCGCCTCGTCCAGCAGCACCTCGCCCTCTCGCACGGCCCGTCGCACGGCCAATCCGCGACCGCGCGGGCCGCGAACGACTTGCAGCATGCTGAATGCCAACAATCTGCGGGGATCACAGAGAAACGGGCGTTTGTCGCCAGACGTCGCAACCGGAGAGCAGGTCAACGACTTGTCGAGACGCGCGATCGAAAATGGACAATCCCCTGACCCTACCACTGGAGGGGAAGCACGTTCGTTTGAGTCCTAACTCAACTACTAGCTGTGGCATGTTCCCGTCGCAATGAGACTGTTGCTGTGACGATGTGATTGGGATTCGGGTGAAGTTTCGGGTTTCTGGTTCAACAATCCCAAATCCCAATACCGTACCCGTTTTGGGACTTGATTGCACAATCAGAGTCAACAAGAATGTTGTTCCAGCTCTATGAAACAGTAAGAGTACCACTACGAATATTTAAAACCAGCAATAGGTTGTTTGTTATCACAATTTGCTTCGTCCACCTTTCAGAATGATTACAGGAATATCCCAGGTTTTCACACCCCAAAACACCCGCTCCTGGGCTTTCAAGCATCTCAACCCCCTGAATTCATGCGTTTATGTCCCTTACCAAACCAGTAGCACAAGTATTTGCACACAACAAAAAACAGCCCCATTCAGTCCCTACCTACCAGTGCATGCTGGGCCATCCCATGCCTAAAAAAACTTGTATTGTGATGCTGCTCCCTACACACCACGACCGGAATCGCCAACCCCAACACCATCGACACTTTTCTTGTCATCAACAGGCAGCACTAGTAGCAGGTCGCACCCAGATTCAGAGAACTAGTTGTGGATCAGGAGGTGAAGGACAAGCCTTGGAGCGAGAGTGCAAGTGAAGGAGTTGGAGCGTAGAGGATGGAGTTCAGATAGATGGAGGCGGACAAGTGATGTAACAGAAACAATGGAGTTGAGAAAAAGAGCTACAATAACATGGGTTTTGCCCCTCAGCACCATGTGGCTTGCACTCCGCCCCTCACTCCCTCCATTGCAGCTGCACGAGAGGGAGAGGGAAGGGGACACAAGGGAAAGGGACACTGGCCCATGGCATGGACTCCAGAAATATCTCACAAGCGGAAGGAAAGGAGAGCAGCCAGTGACCGGAATTTGAGGACGTTATAAGGTACATATACGATCAACCCAGGCTTGGTATGCATCAAAAGGAGATAGAGCATAGCACTTGCCCAGGGTAGCGCGTGGATGCATAGTACAGACCTACAAGGGGAGGTCTCATGCAGGGCCTCATATTCGTTTTGGCCAAGGCTGAATCGTCAGGCTAAGGAGTGAGCTGAAGGCTGATCAATCTGGGCATCCAAAAAAAAAAAAAAAAAAAAAAAACTGAATTTTCAGTGTTTAGTTTAGAAAAATGGCTGATCAATCAGCCTTGTTAAAAAATAAAAAGGCTAAACATGACTTCAAGCTTTCCTTCAGTGCAACACATGCATTCAAAGTTTGGCATTGATAAAAGGACTGTTACACATAACTGATATCATTATCATCATCATCATCATCATCATCATCATCATCATCATCATCATCATCATCATCATCATCATCATCATCATCATCATCATCATCATCATCATCATCATCATCATCATCATCATCATCATCATCATCACCACCATCATCATCATCATCATCATCATCATCATCATCATCATCATCATCATCATCATCATCATCATCATCATCATCATCATCATCATCATCATCATCATCATCATCATCATCATCATCACTAGATGAACAGTCCAGAGCAGCATCTACATGCTCGTTCTCATCTACTTCCATCTGTTCTTTTCCCTTCTTATTGGTGTCACCTGGGGTGGAAATAGGGGCATTAGAGAACGGCTTTTGCTTCGTATACCCTTTCCAGATCTTGACCACCTCATCATATTATGGCTCATACTGCATCAGTGACAAGCACATCAGATCTCCCGGCCTTGCATCCTTGAGCCCACTTTGAAGCCATGGCTTGATAACATTCTTCCTCGAATAGCCCCTTTCGCACTCCACACTGCTCAGGGGAACCATTGCCACCGCTACCCACAGCTGCAGCTACACGAGGTTGGGGTAGCTCTCTTGCTAGTCAAGTGACTTCAAGATCGCTGAGAGGCCGTCGCGGAAGGACCTCTCTCCCTTTGGTGCAGCTGCAACGACGGAGCAAAACATCGGAAGCTCCTTGCATGCCCGCATATTGTTGATTCATGGCAATGTCACAAGAGGGCTTGGGGAGAGGCAAACATAGTATGTTGCAGCATGGGTTATAACATTGAGACGACGAGCATGACATTAGAACAAACATGATAAACATGGGAAACGTGACTTGGAAGAATCTCTTCAGGCTCTTGTGCCTTGAACACGTCACCAATAACTGAAGCCACTCCATGCATCGTGCATGCCGATCTGCTTTGCCTTGTGGCCAAGCATCAGACATGAAAAGTCTAACACCAAAGAGCAAATTCAGGCCACCCAACCTCCTCTCCAGGTTCGCCACGATGCATTCTGCGAACTCGGTGCACATATCAACGCATCCTTCGTGATGCTCAGTGTGCGGTACCCATCCGCAGGGTCGTCATGAAGTGTAAATGACGCGGGCCGACCGTTAGAGTCGACCCCCTCCACTATCACGTTGCGGTTCCTTCCAGGACCATGGCGCACCAAAAAGGGCGAGAGCCAGTAGCTCAAGCCACCGGCGAAGTCGTCCTCACAGTCGATGTAGCGGCTCTCAATGTGCGATGTGGTCCGCTTGATTTGGGCATGCAGCAAGACAAGGTCCTGCTGCAAAAGGTAAGAAATGTCAAACATTATATATGTTTCTGTTGTGTAGGCTACAGTGGGTTAGCCTTTAGGGGGTACACTTCTCTAGGGTTTCCTACTTGTACTCTAGCATCTTTCTAGTCCAACACTTCTTGTTTCTGACATGGTATTAAGAGCTTAGGCTCTAGACCTAGGACTTACCTAAGGGCCCACCGTTAGAAGCGCCCTCGAGCGCCGTATCGACTTAGCGCCCTCGAGTGCCGTATCGACTTAGCGCCCTCGAGTGCCTCTCTCCTAGTGCGCCTCTCTTTCTCCTGCTGCCCGTGCACAGCTCGCTAGTGCCGCGCGCGACCTTTTTTTTTAGCGCGCGTCCCCCGCTAGAAGCCCGCGCGCGGCCGTTTCTGCGTGCGCGCCGACCGCTAGCCGCCCACGCCGCCACGAGCAGCCCACTAGCCGCCCGTCGACCGGCCCTCCTGGCCGCGCGTAACCCGCTAGCGGGCCGCAGCCCCGCCTGTAGGCCGCCGCATCGCCCTCGTACGCCGCCGCCCGCGCGCGACTGCAGTCCACGCACAGCTGCAGACCGCCCGCTACAACCACCCACGCACAAGCCTACCGTCGCGCCGTGCCGCGTAGCCTAGTCCAAGCCACGCCGTGGCACCCTGCCCGAGCCGCGCCGCCCGAGTTGCGCCACCCGAATCGCGCCGCCCTGACCGAGCCGCGCCGCCCCACCTGCAGCAACTAGTGCTACTGCTCCTGCTACTCCTGCTACTGCTACTGCTACTGCTACTACTGCTACTGCCACTATGGCTAGTCCCATTGTTCTCACCTTTGATGCCGAGGGCCGCCCGATTAAGTTCGATGTCTAGCTCGATGACCTTCACCTGTACCTCCAGATCACTGCCAAGGACGATGTTTCCCTCTATGACCACACGTCCGGCGCTGCTCCCGCACCTGCTGCTACTGCTGACAGTACTGCTCACTCATAGTGACAGACTCGTGACGCCCATGCTCGCCTAGCCGTTCGCAGCCACCTGCCGTTAGATGAGCGCGAGCACTTTGGCCAGCATAAGACCGCTAAGGAGGTGTATGATGCTGTAGTTGCCCGCTACTCCTCCCCTACCACTGCTGCGATTTGCCGTCTCTCACTGCCCTATCTCTTCCCCGATCTGTCTGCCTTTGCCATTGTAGCTGACCTCATCACTCACCTCCGTACTAGTGATCTCCGCTACCGTGCCGCACTCCCCCCCGATTTCCTAGCCAAGAACCCCCCCCCCCCCCCGATGTACCCTCTACCACCTGGTCACTCGCCTCCCTGAGTCTCTTCGCGCTGTCAGGGACCACTTTCTCGCTCTCTCCCCCACAGACCTCACTTTCGACCTGCTCGAGAAGGAACTCCTCGCAGCTGAGAAGAGCATTGTCGCTGTAGGTGCCTCTTGTGGCGACCATCGCACTCCCTTCTTTGAAGGATGTTCCCCCTCCCCCCTTCTCCCCTCCATTGCACTTGCTGCTGCTGTCGACTACCTCGATGTTGAGGGGGTCGGAGCTGCGTTCGCTCCCAGTGGGAGGCGCAAGGGCGGCAGGGGCAAGGGGGGCCGGGGTGGAGGAGGCGGCGGTGGGGGAGGTGGTGGTGGAGGGGGTGGAGGGGGCGCCGGCGATGGCGGCAGTGGTGGGAGTGGTGCTAGTGGTGGGGGGACAGTGGCGGAGCCGGGGGTGGTGGAGGCGGCGGTGGTGGAGGTGGAGGTGGTGGCAGTGGTGGCGGCGGTGGAGCTGGTGGAGGGCGCGGTGGAGCGGTGCAGCGTGGCGGGTTCGGCAGCAGCCAGAGGCAGCAGCAGCAGCGTCCTAGCGAGCCCCCGTCGCCCCAGCAGCTCTGTGAGTGGTACTCTCAGCGTGGGGGGTCTGGGGAAGGAGGTACCTGCCCGTACGACAATTCACACAGGTGACCGCACTGGCCAGACTTGTGGGAGGTTTCACACGGCGCAGCGCTGTTTCTTTCGCCTCGACGACGCTTGGCGCGAGCAGTTCCCTGACACCTCTGAGCTGCCCCGCTGGGCTGATCTGCTTAAAAAGGGGATTGATATCATTGCTCTTGATTATGATGCTATCCTTGCTGCTATGTATGCATTGACCATTAGTGTTGAGGGTGACTGTTACCTGAGTGTACCGCCCGACCTGGGTATTGGGATCAGTGAGGCTGCAGCTCTAGGTGCTAGCGCGTCTTCTGCTCTAGGTCCTGATGAGGCTGTAACCCTAGGTGCTAGTGCGTCTGCGTCTGCTGGTACCGCACCTACTG